CAAGGCATTTGAGAGGGTGGGCTGCCAGCGCAAGGTGAGCCTGTAAATTTTCTTGCATTTTTTGTGTTGATGGGGGGTTTCAAACATGCAGCATTACTGTTCTGTTGGTCATACTTCTTATGTAATTGCCAACAACAAATTAGACACCTAAATTCTACATTATGATTCATTCAGGGTGGTTTCCGGGGTGTTGGAGTGATCGGTGTTATTGAGTGCAACTTTCTGCAGCCCACACACAACAAACAGGACTTTGACGACACTCATGAATACAGGTAGTGTTGAACTTCAGATCGGTGTAATATCCATACCAGATTTCTTGCTAGTTACTGAACTTACCGCAGCCTCAGACTAGTGATACTTACAGTATGAACCATTTAATGTATTTTTTGACTCCACTAGATGGTGCTGTCTGTTCAAAAAAGGCTCAAATCATTCCCCAAATCAAGCCAAGAGCACCATCTAGTGGGGTCAGAAAATACAGCAAATGGTTCATGAAGCTTCATTTGCCCATCACTACCTCAGACAGTAAATATGTGCTATTTCATTTTGGTCTAAGAGATATTTGGCAGAAATTTGAGTATTTTGTGATATTTGTCCAGGAATACTATGAATAACCTGGGAGTGAAGCTGGAAGAGTACTGGGATGAAATCCAATACAAGCGTAAAGACTGCTCAAAAACAGAAGATATTGTGTGAGTATTCAAACGGTCTGTTTGTTTTAAGAGCTGTGTATTCTGGGGAATTTGGCTGTGGAGTCTGAACATGCTCTGAGAAACATTGAGCAATGTTACTGTGTGCAAGCAGACACACCCTGGATAAATAAGTTCTGCTTTGCTTTTTGCTGTTTGGGTACAGGAAGCGTCCGGATCAGAACTGGGTGCAGTGTGATCACTGTCAGAGGTGGAGAAGACTCCCAGATGGTATCGACTCTGATCTGCTCCCTGATAAGTGGTTCTGCCGCTTCAATCCAGATCCCCAGTACAGGTGATGTCTGTGGTTCATACTGTAACCAGTAACACAATGGGGAGAACTGGTCCTTG